CTATTGAAGTCATCAAAGTTAGCAATTATCGACTTAACATATTAAATTAATTCATTGTTGTGGCAACATTTTTGATCAACTGGGTGATCCTAATGAAGTTGTATGCATAGACAACAGAAGGTCGGGGTTCGAATCCTGGTTAAGACAACTTTTTGCGCACTTGCAGATTCCTCTTTAACGTTCAAAATGTATATACTGTATAATTATAGTATACCACAAGACAAATTTAAAGTTTATATCTTCGAGTTTGAGTCCTGGTGGACGTTTATTTTTTGGGCATATTCCCTTTCTGTTACATTCCATAAATCTTCATTAATAGTATTTTCCGAAATGTTTAATTACATAGCATTACCACAAGATGGCTTATTGTTATTTCCCATTAAGTTTTCTTTAAATATATATATGTATATTATAAATTATATATATATATATAAATATATATATATATATATATATATAAGTTGAATTAATATTGTAATTCCTTTCAGTTGTTTCCTGACCCTACAACGTATGTACTATAGTGTTGCAATTCCTGTAGCCGTATCACTACTTTTCAACTTTGTCGTTTTTATTATGGTCTTGTACAATTTGAGCAAGCTCGGAAAAAACGCAACTAAGACTCAAAAAAGGCAAAAGAAAATCAAAAGCAAAGGGATGCAGATGTTACAAAATGGCGTGAGCATCGCAATGGTTCTGGGTTTAACATGGCTCATCGGCTTCTTCGCCATTGGAGATGCTTCAACAATGATGCTGTGGTTGTTTTGTATTCTTAATTCTTTCCAAGGATTTCTCATTTTCCTAATGTACTGTGTCAGAAATAAGGAAGTACGCAATCACTGGCTAAAGCTTTTTCGCAGTGTACCGGGAGGTACAAAACGCCTTCGATCGTTTATGTCCGGCGAAACACGACGATCAAGTTTATTCTCGAGTTTGTTCAAATCTCAATCATCTGGTAGGCAAAGATCATTCTCCAATTCGTCTTCGTATCCTACCCACCCTAGACATTATCACAGTGAAAATAGTCAAGTTAAGCTCGGAAAACACTCATCCACTTCGGAGAACGTCAATCTAAGGCGCTGATCCATTCTCACCAATTCATTTTTCCATACGTATTCTAAACGATAGTGCTAAGGTGGCCAACGTACTTCACATGTAAGCCGTGTGTAACCTATAAAAAATGATGATTCACCGTCGTAGTTACTTGAACGTATGAAAGAAAAATGTTGATGTTTGATATCAATTAAATTGAAATGCCAAAATCTTGCCTATATTAATTTGTTAAGTATTTTAAAGTCCTGTACCGCCTTTCAAATTTGACAAATACAAGTGACATGACTAATTATGGTCATGATGCTTATTAATTTGTTACTTTAAATGGTTGCTGCTGATTTTTTAAAAGCATCTTTATTCATTATGCTTTTTTTTCTCTTATGTAGGCCTCCTATTTTGAAATATTATATATATTATTATGTACTATACATAAATAACCACATTTATTTTGTTCAAGATTTTTAATTAAGGATACATTGATTATATTATGAACGAACCTATAAGTATGGTAATAGATACTGTATGCTCCTTTAGTTTATGAAAGTTCATTATTAAGGAATTCATGTACATATTATATATATACTGTACATATAAACGAAATTTGTCACTTAATCTATAATATTTCCATTCGATAATGGTTGCTTAGTGCGTATTTTTTGTCAGTGTACTCAACAGCTATTATTACAAAAGTATCTAAAAAAGTACAAGATGTTCACACGATAAGAGAAGAATTACAAAACAATCAGGATGTTGTGTCAGATGGTTTCAAGCAGGTATGGGAGGTTTTTTGCATCACCAATTTTAATTGAAAATACTTTATCATGTATTATGCTTTCTTTGCCGCTTTTGTATGTAAGGCTACATTTTTTACATGGTTTTCTTTATTACTAATAAAATGTTAAATAATAAATACTTGTTATCCAGGACATAGTGTGTTTACGTCAATAATTTTTGACTATACTTTCACCGCATTTTTTATGAGAATCATCGACTATATTAATAACGGACATCATTTTTGTTACATATTTACCAACATTAAAGAAGTATTCAAACCGAATCTGAGTTTTGGGATCGGAAAGCCGCCGAACCGATCAGAAAATAGGCCGACAACATAAGGACGCTAGCGTTCAGCGCATCGGAAATGCGATCCGAGTTTAGGTTTGAATGCAATGTGAATGCACTGTTTTCTTCTTTTGTTGTTTAGCCATTCAAAATAAGATACATTAAAAATATATGTATATTCTAATTATACGCATATCAGATTTTTTTTTTTCGCGTCGCACCTTTAGGCTATATCAAGAGGAAATAGTCAACTGTAGGTAGCGGTAGCTTTTACTACAAAGAAATGGGAATTCCGAACTAAGCAATGCGCATGCGCAGTCAACAAATACCTCGTGAATTATTTAAAAAAAAAACACAGTAAGCATGCGCTTGGAAATGCTAGACAGTCAGTGAGCATGTGCATTCAAAAAGTGACGTTATCGAGCAATGTCGAGCATGCGCAGTTACCAAAAAGAGTCTCAGGAACGAAATAGCGGCTGCGAAGACGTCTTAAGAACCAAATAGCGGCTGCGAAGAGAGTATGATTACCAAAAAATCGTCTTAGGAACCAAACAGCGGCTGCGAAGAGGGTATGTAATGGAAATTGGAAAACTATATGAAAAAATTAGAACTCTAGCGGGACGAAAGCCTCTATTTTGGCTATCTTAAAGCCAGTTCATCAGTGGTCGTCAGGGGGAATTGTAATTAAATTATCGCAAAAAAGTATGTTAGGCTCTATCGTACAGGTAGTTCACACGTACGTAAATCTATGCATTGACAATCCCATAAAAAATATCCACAGAAACTGACGACACAAGCTAGGGCCAGTGGCGTAACGCCTATGCGCTCTTATGCGGCGGTCCGCAGGGCCCCCGAATTCTAGGGGCCCCAAAGGGCCCTACCCATAGTTCCTCGATCTAGCAACCTGACCAAAAAGGACTTAAATAAAACCATAATGTGTCTCTGAAATCGACTGTAGGGCATATATCATATTATAATGATTAAAGAAAAGGGGGCCCGACGTGTCCCCCTCTCGGCCCGGGACCCCACTAAATTTGTCAAAAAAAAACAATTCTTGAGATAAAATGAAAATTCATAATTTTGTCTGTGAAGTGCCATTTCTGGCCATCTAAAGGTGCCATATTCAAACATTTTCTTACCTCAGCTACAACCATGGTGGGTAGGGTATTCCACATTTAATGTCAAAAAATACAGTGCCTTACACTGAAGAGGGTTAGGTTTAGGCTATTAAACTATTATCGAGATATCGTACGGTACCATGTTTTATCGACCCATAAAAAATAGCCACATACAGGCGGCAGTAGTAGAAAGGCCTAGTCAAGCGTGGGGGAGGGGGAATGAATACAAATGAATAAAATATTAAAATTAATACATTATTATTAATAAACAATGGTAAAAATGCGGTTTGGCTCGGGTTTTCAAATAAACAAATACAAACAGTAACAGACCCCATGGATGGCAAAACGAACAAGGGAAACAACGTAAAAGAGTAAGAGATGAGATCGATATTTATTTGGGGAAAAGAATGGTGCAACACAGCAAGAGAAAAAGATTGATTTGGCGTCGACATCCTGAAACATTTGTCCAGCAGTGGACCAAAAATAGCTGATGATGAAGCCTCTAAATTTTATCAACGTCGTCGAGCCTTGAGTAGGTGACAGCTTAATTTACCATATGGGACTACAACCCAGACAAACCCAGCACCACAAAAAATCTTAGATGACCCACCCTTTGATAATTCCATATTCGTTTTATCATTTTATTTTTTTAACATCAATTTCATTTTAAAAATAATCTTTAATTCATATACAGTATTATGCGTCTTGCAGTAAAAAATTAGGCGTAGGGCTATATTTATTGATCTATAGGAAAATACAGTTACAGATTTATCTATTGAAACAGCTAACTTAAATAAGATAACAAAATTTACACATAGAATAAATTTGGAAGTAGCTGTTTACGCAAATTGAATAAGCTACAGAAGTTGCGGCGTTTTCTTTATAGGAAATATGTCTTGTTTAATGGAATGTTAACAAACATAATAATAATTTAATCTTCATTTTACATTCAACATAAATTCACTGTACGCTTACACACAAGATTTCGTACATTGAAATATATATGTATATTATGTATATATATATTTTTTTTACAAATATACAAATAGAAAAATTAGCATTTCCAATCATCTCATATTTTACTATTGCATTAATATATATTTTTTCTAACTTGTATTTATTTTTTTTTCTATTGAGCACTTATGTAATATATTGTGTGTTAACAAATTTGATTTTCTTCACCTTCACCAATAGCATATGACAGTACAAGTAAACATAACAATTCCAATACTGTAAGTGAAGAAATATGAAAATACCGGTTTCAGATAATGGCAGTTTCATTTTTGTGTGCACTTCTTCAATAATATTATATAACCTTCTTGACATCCTTTTTTTTAAATCAGCTTTTTCGCCTCTATTATGAATTTCACAGTAATTAACTCCCCCCAACTAATCTTAAATATTAAATAATTACTAATCTTAAATCGTAAATAACAATGATAATTACCTTCATAAATCAATAAACTAAACGTATTTTTTCCTCTATGATGATATCATATCTAATTCATTGGTACATTGGAATTAGCTGAAAGCAACTCTTATACTTGAAACTAACCAATAGTACGGCTTTGACATTGGCACAACAGTAGTTACTTATACAGAAACGGATGCTGCTGGCAATGAAGAAATGCTCGTTTGGGGGTCATTATACTGGGTAGGATTTCTTATGGATAAAGTTCAAAATGTGCACACCAATTCTTGACTCATGATGATTACTTAGTGCAATTTTGTATTAATTATCTATTTTTCTTAATCAGACTACATACATTAAAGTATTAAAACGACTGTAAACATAAAACATTTCGCTTATGTCAAGCAATGCACTTTATCTACATTGCTTTAGTCTACCCATCTGTAAATGAGTACCAGCGAATTACTGGAAGTAACCTGCGGTGGAACAGCATCCCCCTCAGGGGGGGGGGGAGCATGTACGCTCTCATGAAACTGGAGATATGTGCCCGCCCTATGAGCCATGTGGCTCTGCAAGGAAGGAAACATAAAAGAAAGGAGAAATACTTTAAAACACTTAAATGCTTTAACAAGCACGCTTTGAAAAGTAAGCAATAAAAAGTAACTACATGTGGGTCACAAATTGAATCCATAAATTGTCATATTTTGGGACTAAATATTTTGAAATACCAAAACAATTCACTTCAAATAAAACGCAAAAACAAGCATGCTTTAAAAAAATAAGCCATAAGAGTATGTACATGTATGTCACAAATTGAATCTTTCAATCGTATTTTTTTTGGGACCATATATTTTCAGTACCAAACAAATTTCCTAAAATAAACATAAAAAATAATAAGTTTTTCTTGGATATTTCATTTATTTTCATTTGATCTCTATTTTCAATAAATTATTAGGATAAAACTCCTAAAATATTTAGCCAGTATGTACAAACAGTTAAAACATGTGTTTTGTATTCACACTAAGACACGCGTGCGGCTTTGCAAGCGGTGTGATCGGCTGCGTAAGGCGGGGTAAGCTAGACAGAGTACATCTGAATTTATGTGCCTTATCAAATACATGATTTAACCAGAATAAGTCTGGTTTGTAGGCCTGTGATCATCTTCGGATACCTATGGACACTAATAGCAAACAGACAAGCTTAGCCTGATAACGGTGATTTTAATAATTACAGTATTAGGATAATTTTAGTGTTGAAATTTTACAACATACTAGTTCGCCTCAAACGGATTTTTTTTTCCTGAAATAATAATGCTATGTTCGAAATTGAATTCTTCTATTAACTTCTTTGATAGATTTAATACCACCTCTGGTAGAGTGTTGATTAATTTTGACAGTCTCCACTGATCCAAATACACCAACTGCCAATGTCTCATGGAAGTTGCTGACAGCATCTGACAACAGTGGAATTGATCCAAAGCTTGATTCCAACTTACAACCCTACTATATCTAGGATTGGTTAAACAGAGGTGAAGTATACGGCTACAGATAGATCTAACAACACAGCTACTTCTACATTTCGAGTTATCGTTATTGGTAAGATTATATCAACTTATGAAAGATGTTATTTTTATTCTTTAGCTTTCAAGAAAATGAAAGTAATCTACCCTCTTTGTTACTGTGCTCTAGATACAGAAGATCCAATTCCTACATGTCCACCAAATATGCCATTTGTTGAAACTGACTTGAGGAGTGCACACGCCATAGTAACTTGGATGACTCAAGTCAAAGACAACTCAGGCCAATTCAAAGTAGCGTCAACACATTCACCAATTTTGCCTTTCCAATTGGAAATACAACTGTGACATATAATGTACAGGATTTTGAGGGAAACACAGCCGAGTGTTCGTTTAACATCACGGTTAAAGGTAATTATTTATTTATTATACTTAAATGATTCATCCTCGTAAGTGAAAAGGTACACAATTACATGTATACATATAATATATAGAATGAATTAGAGGGTGCGCTCTCTTACCCTCTCGTATGTGAAAGCGCGATTAGTTTCGATAAAAAGGGTCATATGACCACTAAACGAACATAGGTTACATGTTGCATGTCATCCCATGTTGCATGTCATCCGTTCAGGTATTTTCTTTACGTAATATCATGTTTTATGATTTACAAAGCATGCTTCATGGACATGAACATTTAGCGTTGAGTTTAGGTACAGGTTTTGATAGCAGGAACCAATAAGAATTAAATTGTCTCATGATTAATAACACAATAAGCCAATGGAATTCATTAAGTTTCCAACAAGGAGGAGCCATGTC